CTGTAAAGTAGCGTTGGAACTAAAAATATGGCAGACGATAATTCGTAACCACTCGAATTTAATGAATTGAGTTTCGTGCCCCTAGGGATAAGATTGTAAGGAATTATCTAATCCTTACAATCTTATCCCTAGGGGCACGAAACTCAGTTTTAAGTACAATCCAATTCAGGTACAGTTTCCTAGCGTGTTCTTGCTGTGAAAGCATGTCTGGCTAGCATTTGAAAGACCCGTGGTCCGAACCTTACGAGAGCATAGTTGAATTTTCAAATTTTATTCATAAGAAAAGGTTAATACTCTTTACTTGTTAAGTAGATATTAAAGTGTAGTTAAGAAATCAGGGACTGTATACACTGAATTTTCGCATTTCATTCATCAGAAAAGTTAAGTAAACATTAAAGTGTAGTTGAGAAATCAGGGACTGTATACACTTTTATATGGATTTGCACGACGTCTCTTAAAAGCCACTGAAAACTACTATTGTCCAGGTTATGGATTTAAAGAATCCAGAATCTTGTGTTTTTTGGTCATGCGTTTGAATCACGGCTTGCTTTATTGATGTTCTTTCCATTTAAAAGTTATTAGGGTTACTAATAATTTGTTACTTATAGATAGTGCTGTTAGTTTAATTTTTTCCGCCTTTCTGTTTATTTTGAAGCAATCTGTGTAATTTGATATAATAATTTTGTTTGTAATGGTTGTTTGCTTTTCTATATGTGTATAGCAAATCACACATAATCGGCCATCTGTTTTCTTTGCTTTCTCTGTGAATTTGCTTTTCTCTGTGAATTGTATTATGAGTGAAATAATATGTCATGCTGATTCATATCAACTTAATTTTCTATAAGGTTTATATTCGAAATCTCAAAAATCTTTTAAAATATTTGAAGAGTAGTTTACAGACAGTAGCCTGATTGTATATATATGTGCAAATATATCACTAGTAATGAGGAGTTTTATTTTAGGTATTATGCTAGTAATCTCTAAACTGGTTTTCCTCATATGTAGCGTGAATCCAATTCAGGTTTTAGAAAATCTTCCATCTGGCAGATAGCACTCGTATACCTTTCAGTATTGAATTAAGCAAACAAATTATTAGTCTCCAAAATTATATGTTAGCGAGTTATTCATAAGAGGAACTGCGACTGTTGCAACTCTTGAAAAGATAGTTGGGTGACAAGCGAAACATTGCGGAGAAACAATGCAAGGCGAAAATACCTTGGGAGAAAAGAAAACAGAGAGAAAACAAAGCAATTCTATTACATCATGGTATAAAACATCGTCGCTGAAAATAAAGCGGTTATAAAAATTCACAGTTTTAAAACCTTGTCGTAGAAAATATCGCGGCAAAAAGTAAAGTGCTTAAAGTCTTCGCATGACCATAACATTGAAGACATATATTAGGCTCTAACATTTATAACTATATATTTGCATAATTGTTTGTGAGGGAAAGACGGAATGACATTTTTATTTCATATTTTTTAATTAATTAATAATCTTTTGTTAAAAGAGCAAGAAGGAAACTTAAGCATTCAAAAACTGAAAATGAGTAGAAAATTAATGATACGCATAACAGTACAGTTTTAAACTTATGCATTTAAGTATGAAAGGGAAATATATAATAATAAATTGATTAGAAAAATGAAGATGAGAAACTTCATGAGGTTACCGACATCAAAACCGTTTAATTAATTATCAAATTGTAAAATTAGTTTCTTTCACCTTGTTAATGTGATATTCTTTTACCAAAAATTAAATCTTGTACTCATCTCTCCTTTTCTAATAATTTTTTGGCTACTTTTTCACAAAAATCTATCAATACAACTTTATAAAAGAGATTAATTAAATAATGAACTTTAATAATTAACTGCATAAGTTTAAAATTCTGTTAACTGTTATGCGTAACATTAATTTTCTAGTCATTTCTTTGACGATACCATTTTGCGTAGTTCAAAATTTTCTATAATAAAATATTCTTCCCTTGCATTCTGTTCTTGTTACTTATGCAGTTCGAAATAATGTAATCTGTCTCTCAGCTCGAAATGTGTGATATTATGAGTTATACAGTCACTTTAATAAAAAATGCTAGATACTTTACAGTTTTAGGCAAGATTTTGCAAGCATTTCAGTGAGTTTTTGCAAGAGATATGAGTAACAAGGCAATACGTAGAATTTAAATATGTTTAATATCTTTCTTTTTAATAATAATGACTATAATTCTTTCAGAGTAAAGGAAAAAACCAATTAGTTTCAGAATGTGAAATTTAAGCAAATTAAACGGAGTAATCAGTTGAAGAGAAAATTTGCGAAGGTTTACTAAGTATTTGACTTTAACTAGTATGTAGATTTGTTTGAAGAGGCGGTTCTTACTTTATTATCTTTTCTGATTTAGGCACTGAATTCAGTTCTAAGAGCTTATGAAGAAGAAAAGGAGATGCTATTATCTCTCAAAATTAAACTTTTAGTTGCTTATATACTAATGCGATTTTATGAATATTTTGATTTCCTTTATTAATTATTTATTTTAAAATTTCTTAAATTCTTCAAAATTATATATGAAATTAAAAATATTTTTAAAAAAACAGTATTTCCCAATTTTTTGCTGGACAGAATTTCACAATAAAATTATAATAGAAAGATTAGAAAGTTTCACAATAAAATTGCTTAATCGGGTTGTTCATTACTGCGCACACCATAAACTGCTTTTATTAAACATTATTTTAGTATTTTATATTTCACTTAGATTTATAACCATTTATATGCACTCTTTATTAATAATCGTTTATATGCGTTCTTTATGCTAGGAAATGTAGTATTAAAAAATATCATGTGTTATAATAAATAATGTTTTGAATTAAAGGTTCTGTTCTTCACTCGAAGAAGGATATTTTCTGCATGGATTGAATTCCTGATTGTCAAAGAAATATTTTATAGTTTATAAAAAACAAAATATCCTAAGTGAAGCGTTTCGGCAAAAACTGCGAAGATTTCTTTTATATTTCTCTCCTTTTTCTTATTAAAGTCTCCAGCAGTGCTGAGCTTCAGAAAATATCTCATTTTAATCAGTTAATACGTACTTCATATGCTCACACATGAAAAGTATCACTAGCAAATAAACTCATGTCTTGCTGATTGAAGAAGATAGATGTTTACGTATTGAAATATAAATCTTCGAATTATTTTCTTTGCGCAAAGCTCAAAAGCCAGAGCCAGAGACTTCTTTTAAACTCCATCTATAGAAGTTCTTGCTTGAAATCGTTACATAGATAATAATCCTTTAGTTCAATGACACATGGACATTTGCATTTGATCTCATTTTTATTACACATTAGTGAAATGAAGTTCTGTTCAAAATATCAGCGTCAAAACGTTTTATCTTTGATTGCAGTTTTAATAAAGATTATTGAGAGAATTTTAAGGAAATCAAAGATTTTGAACGAACATGGAGATAAAACACCGCATGAAGTATAAGGAACATAGTACGTATCTCATTATTGTTATATAATATATCTCATTATTGTTATATAAGTTTATGCATGGATAATGATCTCAGATTTATTTTATGTGCTATTTCCATCATTTTTAGTTCACTTTAATAAATATATTATTGAAATTCTATGATGTAATGAAGAACTCGGACCAATTTAGTGCGTACTTAAAACTGCTAGCACTTTTTTACATTAGATGTCATTTAACCCAATTTCATTTTTTTCTCTTTTTGTAAACTGTATGTCTTCTAATCTTTTATTAATATTATGTTATCATAGTTAATTTGATCTATTTTGTTAGCAGTTTCTTAACTTACAAACTTTTAAATCAAATGTGAGCAAAACCTTTCACATTATGAAATTTATCCAAGTTTGTTTCATGAGCATGAATAACTCAGACGTATTAATCTGATCCTTAGACTGTATTGAAAACTCTTGGCTTAAAACTAAAAAAAATACTTTATATATAATACAATTAATTGTTATTGTTTTCTATTTAATTTGCCTAGTCACTCTGAGGTTAAATGAAGTAGATCAAATGTAATCTATAGCGTCGATACTGATATCTTACTGATACTAATATAGATACTGATAACTTTTCCGAAACTTAGTCGTCAATATAGTTATATGAGAAGCTACTCAGAACTAATTACTACACTCTCAAATAAAAGATACATTAGATTCTACTTAAAATAAAATGAAACGTTGTCTTTTATTGTATCAGAAAAAAGCATTAGACATTTCATAACGATTTTTACTTTCATTGTGACTGAATAGGTTGTCTTCTTGCTGATTGTATGTTTTAGTGTCGTATGTTATATAAATACTTGCTATTCCATTAGAAATCCATCAGAACATGCATATTCCTCAAAGTTGATGCTCTCGAAGTCAGTTTCTGAGAAAATGCTTACTAACTTTCGACTTAAATTGAAGTTTTTTAGAAGCCCCTGCTGTAATTATTCTATAGCATTACAACAAATATATTTCAAGAAATTTTTTTAGTAAGAATAGAGGACAAAATTTTTCTTTTTTTTTGGGGGGGGGAGTTGTTAATTATTTATTTACGAAAATATGCTTTGTTATAATCCTACTAAGACATTTAAAGATGTTTCCCAAGAAACCAAATCATTTTATTGGAATATCAAAATATTATTGACTTACGGAAGAGTAAAAATGATCGAAATTTCTGAAAACTATTCTTACGCAAAAAATATATACTAAGATCAACTTAATTTTGTTTAGAAGCTGCCTTAGATTAATAATGAAAGTACTTATTCAACTTGCTAAAAGCACAGTCAAATGTGTACTAGTCTTTTCTGTGCTATTAAGAAGGGAAAAGTTGTATTTAAACTTGTATTAAATAAGTAGTATAAACAATTTACATTCTTAAAAACTTTTTATATCTCTGTGTTATGACTAATGGTATGGTAATGCAGTCTGTAATCTATGGGTTTTATTTAGAAATTTGCACTATATAAATAAATACTCTATATAATTTTTTGTGCAAATACTTACCAGTCTGATTGAGACCAGCGAATCTTTGAAAATCTTTAATTGCGTTTGATATTGCATCTGGCCCTAAAATTGCTCCGACTCTATAGCCTGTAGAATCTTCAAGGTAACCAAATTTTTGTAAATATAACTGAAAATGAAAAAAATATATATGTATAATTACTTATCAGTAAATGATAAATATATTACTCTAAAAAGGTATAACTTATTTTTAACTAATGTTTTTAATACTCCTCATTACTTCGTTTAATGAGTCATGAAAAATGATAAATCACACACAGACTCCTTTTTTACACAAGGTAGCAATCTTTATCTTCATGAAGAATTTTTAAAAACGCATTTTTCTTTTTCAAAATATTTTAGAATTACGTTCCACTTATAAAGATAAAAGAATGACTGAAATGCATCTTTACAAAATATGTAGTTTCCTGTTTCGAAAAATTTAGTTTATACTTCTACATTGCGACGAAAGATAATTTTACTCTCCTAAATTTCTACGCCTTATTATTTGCTGGTTTTAAATATTGTTAAGATTAGAGGATAATCCTAAAAGCACCAATGAATTTAATCAATATTACTTTAATTCCTATCCAGCAGCTGTTTCTAATGAAAGATCAAAATTTTAAACGGTAATTAGAATATTAACTTCTAGAGACATTAGGTTAATTGTAAAAACCAGAAAGATTTTTATTTATTATTATTCCGCCTGCTTCACCTCTCAATGGGCACTACAGGTCAGTCATGTTATTCTGATCGTTGCTACATCGACCTATTTTGGCTGTTTATCTTTTCAACCTTATTATAGATAAACAGATTTAACAGTAGTTATTACTTTTGTTGGGGGTGCTCCAACTTACAATTTTTTGGGAATGTTAGTATAAAATTAGCAGAAAGGGTTAGTTAGCTTAGAGATATTTATATATATACATGAGTAGAGGCTTGCTGCCTTTACATTTCGTCAGGTGCCTAGACCTGATTATCTGCTATGATTATGTTTCTCTTAGAATAGACATACTCTATGATAGTTCTGACGCCCCGCTGTCCGTAGTAATCCTGAAGAAGGTCTTTGAGGCTATGTAATTTCTGGAGCTGAGGAAGGAAGGCTCTGATGGGAGAAATGAGTGGACAGTCGTGGATGTAATGTGAAGCGTCTGCTGAAGAAGCTGAAGCACCGCAGGCGCATTTTATGTTTTGATTGCAGAACCTGCTGAGGTATGCGGGAAATCTTCCGTGATTTATTAAAGCTTGTTGTAGATAGAAATCTGTTTTGAGCCTTTTGGTGGAAACCACGGAAAGATGGAGTAGGTGTGTCGACCGGTGTCTGAGTCGTCCCAGCGAGCTTGCCAGATGGACATGAAGGCGCAGAAGATCTTGTGTTTGGCAGCGGCTATGGAAAGTGGTAACTTTGATTCGATGAAGGGGTGACTTGTGGCTTCTTTAGTTAAAAAGTCGGCCCTTTCGTTACCTTGTGTACCTTTATGACTTCGTACCCAGCATAGAGACACTTGCCTGGAAGAAGATAGGGTAAAAAGCACTTCTTTTAATGAAGAGATGTGGAAGGCTTGTATGCCGTTCTTGTTCAGTGCCTGCAGGACGCTCATGCTGTCCGTGTAGAAGCTGATAGATGGAAAATTGGTGTTGCCTGCCCAGAGAGCTGTCTTCTTGAAAGCGAAGGACTCAGCCTGGAAAATCGAGGCGTGGTCGCTAAGTATGAACCGTGCTGAGTGAATTTCTGTATTGTTGTAGAAAGCGACATAGGCTGCACCTACTTGCTCTGAAACTTTAGAGCCATCAGAAAAGATTTCTAAGTCCTGTCCTTTTGGTAGATGCTTAAGCCATATTACATCTTTTGTGAGAGATGGGTGGACGAGAGTATAGTGGCAATGTGGAAAGAGCCCTTAGAATGAACTAACCTATAAGTACCACACTCAATTTCTGCTTTGAGATCTAAGGGAAAAACCCCTGAGCAACCCCTTCGCCGGGAATCGAACTACTGACCTCTGAAATACCGGCTCAGTGTGCTGACCACTACACCACGAAGGTAAGCTACGAAGGCGGGAGAAGTATCTTAAAATCTAATCAATAAAAGAGATTTAATGGTAATTATAGAGATTTTAATATTATTTTTTTCAAATGTCGGAGTCTTTGCTAACGCAACCTTCGTCGGTAATAACCGGACCCGTCTGTCATTTAGCCTCTCAGACGTATAACGTTGCTCTAGGTGGTGATCGTCAAGAAAGAAGATCCTTTCCAGCCATCATTTTTCGACCATTAGTCTTGTGACTACTACGACGTTCTTGTATAGTGATAACTTTGTCAGTATGGTGTCTTGTTTAGTGATGACTTTGTCAGTATGGTGTCTTGTTTAGTGATGACTTTGTTAGTATTGATAGCAATGCCTGATCAGTGTTGTGTACCTGAGTGTCATTATAATTATGTTGAAGCTTAGAATTAAGTGAGCGTGCACGAATTTTGACGCAAAAAAGCAGTTGCGGAACCGTAAGTTTCCTCGCTTGAATTTAGTGCCCTCTAAACCAAGTATCATTCGTGAAAAGCATTTTTGCGAAGATATGATTGTGCGAGAATATCTATTTAGTGATAAAAATAAAACAATTTTAAGAATTCCGAGAAAATATTTAATATTAAAAGGCGATGCATATTAAACGGCTGTCCAATACATGCGACTGAAAAGGCACCGGCAGTGAGGAGAAGCAGAGCGGAAGAATTAACAAGAAAAGAGGAAGAAATATTCACAGTTTTCCACGAAAAACGACGAAATTAATAGGTTTGATAAATTGATTATAAATATCGATATTATTTTAGAGAAGCTGTGAAAAAAATAGAAAATTCATGGTCTGTAAAAATTCTGATGAACTGTTTGTTGAATTTTATGCTTTTGTTGAGCTCCATACATTCAAAAATGTTAAAAATAGATAAACGAATGAATGTTGAAATATTTTATAACAACAAGCCTCTTCATTTAGATACAGTAAAGCACATATTCAATAAAATGAAAAAAACCACACTGTGGAGTGAATTTCAGAATGTTTTAACTTTTGCTGAAAATTTGACAAATAATGATGATAGTCTTGAAAATAATTTTGAGATAGCTGTTAAATTGGAAAGTTTTTATACAGGAATAGGTTGATGTATAGGAATTTAATATCTAGCTTATTTTGCAGCAAATTAAACGTTCGAAAATTTTGGCAAAGGTAAAAGGTGTGGCAGCAGCATTTACCGTCTCTTTATACTATATGAAACCTATGTCATGTTATGAAGCAGTTCTTGCAAGTAATTTGATAAAGATACCATCTGCAATTCATCTAAAAAGACTGACTTCATGCTTGAAAATTAAATCAAGCAATGACTGATATAAATAATATTGCTTATGTTAAAAGTTAATGTAATGCATTGTAAACCAAAAAACGCACTGTGAGTCTTCACATTGATGAAAATCACATGAAAACAAAAATAATTGCTTAACAAACACTAAATAGTTTTTTATTACTTGGAAACAGTAGTTCTGTTACTTTTCTTCTAATATCATACTTCCAAACACTACATAGATCATGTTTATTTTATTTTATTATTTTTTTTAAATACTGATGTCATATATGTTGTTTGTTAGGCTATTATCTGATTTTAAATATCAATGTTGGAAGTTTTTTTAATTAGATTTAGGTATATTTCTTGTCTGATATATTTGAAATCATATTTATAAACTAATTTATATAGTCTTTTATTTTTCATATGTTGAGACATAGAAGTTGATGGTTATAATATTTTTTGCTATGAAACGTGGTTAAATTAATACTTTAGCTTAGGTAAAATATTGATTATTATAATTGCTATCTTAAGAACCGCTTCCTAATTTATCATGACAGGAGCAAATTTTTAATCAATCTTCGTCTGTTACTCTACTGTTCTTTCAATTAATGTATGCAAAAAGTTAATTAAAATAGCTTTAGAAAGCCTAAAAAGTGAAGATAACGTATATAAAGCCTGTTTTCTGTCTGCTATTTTAATTAGCTAAGCAATATGATAAAGTTATATATCCGACAAAATTAAAAAATATCCAATTCCAGATTACTTTCCGATGAACAACATTGGACGGAATTTGCCGCCAAGGGTCATGTTTGCCAAGTGTCATGACCTTCTGTCTTCACGAAAATTCCTCTAAGAAAGAATTGATAAAATATGTAAATTAGTATTGATTATGAGGTAAGTAAATAAGTAGTTAAAAAATAATAATAATTATTTGAAGCATACGCTGCTGTTTGGAGTCCGGTCCAGCTCACCGTATGAAATCATGGATGTATTGATACTGCAAATTGATAAGTATTACGTATTAAAGAAAAAACCCTTATAACTTTTGATTAAATTTTATAATAAACCTGTCTAGTTTTAAAGGAGAAAGGAGAAAGTGATAGTTAATCAAATAGTAATCAGAAGAAAATGTGACTGTTATAATATGAATTTTAAAAGTTTGAAATGATCAGATTACACATCAGAAGCATGTGATTTAAATTCATCGATAAATCTATTTTTAGGGTTTGTTTGTATAATCTTTTGTATAATCATTTGCTTTTAAAAGTAAGGATAGTCTGCGTGGAAAGGTTCTCAAGGGAAGCCAGCTGTCATTCACAGTTCACATAAGAAGAGCCACCAAAGCGTCCACATAACCAACCCGTTCCCCGAGATTTGTGCCCAGGTTGAGCTAGTACCAATACTAAGCATTCGTTTCTTACTTGGCCATTGTTTCAGTGATATTTGTATTTTATGTTAACATTTTACAAATTTCTCGGTATTTAGACAGGAAGAAAATGCAGACTTCTCTGTGAAATAATGTATTGATTTGTTTTTAAGAAACGATTCGAAACTAAACAAAAATTTCTGAAACAAAACTTATAAAATTCAAATATTAGAGGCAAATTAGTTATAGTGTGCCTGATCTATTTAGAAACGCATAAAGGAAAGAATCTGCATTTTTAATGTTAAGCAGCTGCGCAGTTATTGCTTGTTTTTATGGGTAAGAAACTCTTACCTGTCTAAATAATCCTATAGTCTGTTACTAGAGAAATTAGAAGAATATTTTAAATAAATATGCTACGGCTACTTTGTGCTGTATAT